GATATTAAAAAATTTTCCAAATTTAGAAGAAAGCTTGGAGTTGTTGAGTTTTAAAGGAAAATAATAATAATAATAATAATAATAATAATGATGAAAATAACAATGAAAAATAACAACACAATACTGTAAATAGTAATTATAATAGCAACTATTATTATTAATAGTATTTATAATTACTATTTTATATTACTATATAACTACTATAATTATAGTAATAATAATAGTAATATTTGCCATAAATTAGGCAGTATTAATGAACAAACAAATACAAAATAATAATTATAATAATAAAACAAAAAAATAATAAGTAATATCATGTCACTAATCAAAAATAAAAATATATAATTAATTATAAATTAAATAAGAAAATAAAAATTAAATAGAAAAATGTATTAAAATTTCATCTAATATTATAAATATGTTATAAACGAAAACAGAAATAACATAAAAGATAGTAATAATAAAAGTAAAAATAATAAATTATTAACTAAAATAAGGATAATAGTAATATACTTAATGTATAATAGTAATAAATTAAAATAGTTAAATAAAATAAGATACAACAGAATCAAGTTGAATAAAAATTATATTTAATAAAAATCTCATTTTTCTTTTTTAATAGATAACATTTACTTCTTTTTTTCTTTTTCTTTTTCTTTTACTTTATGATTTTTATTGATTATTTTGAATGGTTTAAATTTTTTTTTGAATTCAAAATTCCTTTGTTAACTCTTAAACGCTTTTGTTATATTTTTGGTTATCAACCTTTGATAAGTAAGTTATATTTGAATCAAGTAGTAATTTAAAAGTACTTTTTCTTTTTCTTCTTTTGTTTTCTTTTCTTTTCTCTTTATTTGTCAAATTATGTATTTTACTTTATTCAGTTTAGATTGCTTATCTTTTTTTTCATATTTATGTTTCTTTTACTGATTCATTAGAAAAAACCAATTTAATACAAATCTTCTGCCATCTAAATGTTGATTTGCTTGCAAACCATCTATAAATATAAAATAAATGAAAAATATTTGCTAAAATTAGGAAACAATAATTTTAGAAGCAAAATTAAAAATTTTAATTTTTGAAACTAGTTAAAAGTGTTGTTAACATATTATGCTATCTTTTTGTAAAAAGATAGCACAATATGTTAAGAACAAATAAATTTACCTTTTATATTAGTTTTATGTCTTTTAAATGAGTCGATGCAATTTTTTGGGAATTAGTTATGTGAAAGTTGCTCATGATGTAAACAGATTTTAACATTAACATTTATTATAGATATCTCTCTCAGAATAGCTTGATAAATCTTTCAAACCAGTTGATTTAGTGTACACCATTTCATGACATTGATCATTTGATAAAATACCAACTGTACACATTTTATTTTTTCAATTTTTTATTTAACTATAAATTAACACAAAATACACAGACAAATATACATAAATATACATTTATTTAAAATGAATAAAACTTTTATCATTAGTATTTTTAAGTCTCAGCTTATATTGAGTGTTTCTTCTGTTTTAGTAAAAGATGATCTGACATAATATGTCATTAATTAGAGAGCAAATTTTTTTAAAAAAGAAATATTTAATTGAATTATGACTAATGGGCATTTCCAAAATATCATGCATGGAAACTTGTATATGGTCTATTATTTTCATAATAATAAAACTGGGGATCTCCAATTTGCTCTAATTTAATTCTAACCTACACAAAATATTTTCTAAACAAAAAATGGTATACATTAGTAATGTTAACAAAGAATAAATTAAGTTTAAAGCGGAACCACGCACAGAACAGAAAAACTCAAATTTTAGTTAGTAGATAAATAAACTTTAGTTCCTCGAAAAATATAAGTTTAAGCGTTATATATATTTTTTTAAATAATGTTTTAAAAAGTTAACTCTCCAGAAAGTTACAGGATTGCACTATGTATCTTAGAGTCACAGCAATCATTAAAATGCAGTTCATGAATGATCATGCACGGAAGTCAGCCACAGAAGTTGCAAACTTGTTAATTTTATGTAGGTATTTTTAAAAAATAATTGCTTGCGAGTATTTTAAGTGAAATATTATACTTCTTAAATATTATATTATATTTAATATATTTTCGATGAGAAATGGCAGTCATCAATTATTTCTAGCTAAAGTATAGCGTTTTGAAAACTGTTGCATTTTTCAAACAGTAGCAATATTGTTACGCAAAAAAAAAAAAAATATCAAAATATATATGTATTAAATTTATTCAGGTATTCTTAAATATGATGAAAATATTTTTGTAATAAATGTTTTTTAAGAAAATCATAACAGTATGCATATTGCTTTAAGTTCCAGCTTTAAATTGCTAAACCAAGAAAAATAAAAAATCACACACAGAAATTTATATGCCCTAATGAAAATTGTCAATGTCAATTATTTTTTAAAAAATCATAAACAAATAACTATAATTTTTTCACATAATACTTCTATATTTTTACCATATATTTTTAAAAAACCTACCTTTTAATTTTTCTCCAAAACACTCTTTAAAATATTTTAATACAAACAAAAAAAAATTACAAAAGATTAATGCTACCATGGTTGCCAAACCTATATTCTACCTTTGATAGAATTTCAAAAACAGCTGGGCAATTCAGCGAAAGTGGCGGTTGTAATATTTGACACTCTTTAAGCTATTAAAAATGAATTAAAAAGGAAATGACTTCAGAAATGAGAAATACTATCATATAATTTTGTATGCAAAAGTTGCAGCATTAAAGAGATCCCAAACTAGGGACCGACGAAGTCAACTTTTTAAGACTCAATGTTATATGAAAGTCGAATTTAGATTATATGTGTATACCAAATTTAACTGAGAGCTGAATTTCTATTTCAACTTCAACACTGAAGTTGAAGCCAAAGTCAACTTTGCCTTTCAGTAAACTTCGTGATCCGAATTTTAACGAATATTTGCCGGTCCTTATCCCAAACCTCCGAGACATGCTGTGTTCATATTAAAGAGAATGATAAGAAAAAATATTTGGGCTAATTTTTTTTGATTAAAACAAAAGATTTTTTCAAGCTCATTTTATTCCTAAGAGTTTTAGTACATGACGTCATTGAATTTATGTTTGTTTACGTAATCAATCTTTTACACAAACAAAAAAAATCAATGATGTCACAGGCCTTGTTAAGAAGTATTTCCCTATTTAAATTTTATGTACATATTCACGATTTCATGTACGCGTTTTGCAATTTACGTTACGCAAAAAATTTTTCAATTAGTTTATTTTAGAAAGTCTTTTAGAACAGATTATGCGGAAAACATTAAGCTGTAATTAATTTTTGTAAAAAACATTTGTGGAATTTTTTTTTATTTGATAAAAAATAGTTTAAAAGTTTTTTTCTATTTTCCGTTTTTAAAAATTTTTTTTATTAAATTTAATTAAAATCCTTTTGGAAATTTTAAAACGCTTCGTTTTACAATTTTTTTTACTCAAAGTATAAAAAAAAATTTAATAAATTTAATTCAAGTTCCTTTAAAATGTTCATATTGTATCATATATACAGGGGCGGATCCAGCATTTTTTGGTCTTTAAGATATCTAACTTCCAGACATGGAGCTTACTCCAAACATTTATATGTTTGTACTTATGGCAAATAAGGATGCTTTACATAAAATTGCGATGATTAGAGCTTGGGAACAAAGTAGCCTTTAAATTTTCACTCCCCCCCACCTGCCCCAATCGTGAGATCAACAAGTTAATGAAATATTTTTCATATTATTTTCAACTAGACTTATATTCATCAAAAAGTTTTAAATTTCATCTTAAAATTTTATAGCGTTCAAAAATTATGACCATATAAAGTTTAAACACCCCTAAATTTGAAGGGATTGCAAATTTTATATGGTCATAATTTTTGAACGCTGAGAGATAATACTATGAAACTTCAAATTTATTGATGAATATAAGTCTAGTTCAGAATAGTACAAAAAATATTTTATCAAATTGTTGCTCTCATGTTTGGGGCAGGAGGGGGGAAATTTTTGGGGTTTTTTTTGTTCCCATTGCAATTTTTTTGCAAATCTTCATTATTACTTATGTCAGTATGAACATCTAAATATTTGGAGTTAGCTCCATGTCTGGAAGTTAGCTATTTCAAAGACCAAAAAATGCTGGATCCGTCCCTGCATATACCTTTATTTTAATATCAGTTTTTTTTAACAAAAGTTTTTTCTTTATTATTAATTTTTTGAATTGATCATAGACTTAACATTGATTAAAAATGATTAACTTAGGGCCGACAACACCAGATTGAAAATATCAGATTTTAATTCCTCATCTTACAGTAACTTATAAAACAAAAACTATAATAAAATTAAAATGGCCACTAAACAAAAAAAAGCTGATTTTAAAGCAACAATACCTCCAAAACCCTTTAGATATCAGCACTAAAATTTTCTAGTCTGTGTTATAACCATTTTTACAAAGAATATAGAAAATCTGAGATCATGCGTTGTATATCCCACTTTTTCATGGAATACCTCTTACTACAATTGTTAAATGTGATAATAAACATTTTTTGTTGTTATTTTTGAGACCAACCCTAATATACTAGTTCTCAAAGTTAACACTTCAATCAGATAACTATTTTAAATCAGATAATGAAAAAGATTAATTTGTGAAAGTATAAATTAAGTGAATAAAAAAATATTTGTTGGTCATTTAAAAATTAAGTAAAAAATTTTATTTCCAAAAGGCCTTTATAAGATAAAGAGGCCAGCAGGCCACTAAAGCTATATTGGCCAAGATAAATAATATTGCATCAACATTGTATCAATATTGCTACTAGGGTAGTTGACCACAAAACTAAAGATCACAAGTTTAAACAAGTATTTTTTTTTTTGATCATTATTTAGTGAAAATCTGAAGAAACAATAAATTAAATTAAAACTATATATACTGAAAACACAAACATAACAAAACTAAAATGATAAAACAAAAATATATTAAACATACCTTTTGTATTGACAAAACAGTAATAATAACAATAAAGATAACAAGAAAATACCCAAACATAATGCCAAAATATGATAAGGTGAAAAGGTTTTTGCCATAGTATTAAGTCTTCAATCACAGACAATTTCAAAAAAGAAATTTTAATTTGACAAACGTTTTTGTTAAATATGCTAAAAATCAATATTATCTTTTAAAAAATATATTTAAAACAAACTTTTTAATTTTGAAAAAACTTAATTTAAAATAAACGAATTAAATTTTGAAATTACATAAATCCAAAATATTTTATACTTTTTAATTTTATGATAAAAAACTAGTACACTTTATATATATTTTTTTCCATATTTAAATGTTCAATTGTTTTTAATTGTTTCAACAAAATAAAATTTTTAATGATAAGGATTTAAGAAGATATTTGGTAATGAGGCCCTAAAGGCAGACCTTTGAGGGATTGCAATGATTACTTTCTAAAATGTTTTAGCTACATTAGTAGGGTTGCCAAATGTCTGGCTTTTATAAAGGAGAGTACAGTGAAAAAAATTATTTTTACAGGTTTGGCACTGTATTCTCCTCCGTAAAAGTTGGACACTGGCAACCCTATACATTAGGCAATATCCAATATCTTTAATATCTATAAGCTCAAGTTATAATATCTATAAGCTCAAGCTGCAACATATTTTTATGAATAGAAATGTTAGAAATTTTAAAGAAGTTAAAAATTCATTTGGTATAAATGAGTTGCTTACAATTATAAAATATAAATGGGATCAGATATTATTTTGTTTTGCAGTTATAAAATTGAGTTGGAGATTTGGCCAATTAATTTTTTTCTTGACTTCACTACAGAGGTTAAGTTAAAAATCTCTAGCGAAAGAAAAAAAGGTTTTAGATTTTGGAAAAAAAAGATTTGAGGTTTTGAGAAAGTCATCAAATTTTCTTAAAGTTTTGATATTTTTAACAAGATCATTGGCTATATTAGAAAGTTTCGCTGTTAAAAAACTAATTAATAAATTTATTAAGTTTACGAAGTTATCAGAAGTTGACTCATAAGCACATAATGGTAAATTTTTATTATTAATTTCTTCTTTCTGTTTATTTTTAAATTGTTTAAGTTTGATTCATAAAATATAAAACTATTCATATTAAAATAATAAACTTGTAAAGTAAAGTTAATATTGAGGAGGCTACTTATTTGTAGTTATAACCCTCTCTCAACTCTATGACTCCAAAACAAGAACCATGACAGACAAGGTTGCTGCGTGAAAAAACAAGTTGATATATCATCATATAATTGATAAACAATATATATATATATATATATATATATATATATATATATATATATATATATATATATATATATATAATGTATGATTTTATATATATATATATATATATATATATATATATATATATATAAATGTATGATTTTATATATATATATATATATATATATATATATATATATATATATATATATATATATCATCTCCAACAATCACAATGGTGATGAAGTAATTCAGAAATACTAAGTAAATTTATTACAAGTTCTTGAAAGCATCTCCAAAAAGTTTGTATTTTAGTCATTTTTTGAATGTTTATAAGGTGGTTGAATTACGTGTGTTCATATATAATTATATATATATATATACATATATATATATATATATATATATATAATATATATATATATATATATATATATATATATATATATATATATATATATATATGTATATATACATATACATATATATACATATATATATATACATATATATATATATATATATATATATATATATATATATATATATATATATATATATATATTTATATATATATATATATATACATTAAAGATTTTAGGAAATGCCATTGTACATTGCAAAATAGAAAACTTTACATACATAAGTATAAGTATGTATGTATTTATGTATGTATGTATGTATGTATGTATGTATGTATGTATGTATGTATGTATGTATGTATGCATGTATGTATGTATGTATGTATGTATGTATGTATGTATGTATGTATGTATGTATGTATGTATGTATGTATGTATGTATGTATGTATGTATGTATGTATGTATGTATGTAGTATGTATGTATGTATGTATGTATGTATGTATGTATGTATGTATGTATGTATGTATGTATGTATGTATGCTTGTATGAATGCATGTATGAATATATACATGCATATATATACGTGAATATATACATGCATTGTACATATAAATGAATATATAAATGCATTGTTTTTTTTTGGGATTAAATCAAAGTTTGTGGGATTAACTCACATTTCGTATCTGGGTTTAAATTAGTGATATTTCAAATCTAGTATAGAATTAAAGTGCTCCTAATTTAAAGCATAGAATAATAATTTAAAGTCTGCAATTTAATTACACTAAAAATAAAGGGGGTAAAGGAATTTTTCATATTTCAAAAACTCTCTTTAGACAAAAGAAAAGATTCTTTTAAACAGACTCATTGTGATTTAATCAAATACTTTTGGTCTACGAAATCAAAAAAACAGTCATTAGGAGACGGTTCGCTTCAAATATCAACACTGTTAAGCCCATTCAATTAAATAAGTGTCTAATTCAATCTTAAATATTATAACTGAATCAATTATCAAATTGATACTCAATTCCAAATTCTCCATTATTTGATAAATGCGCCTTTTATTGAAATTTCTTGTAACTGATCATATTTCCTAGAATAGACGATATTCGAAATTTTTTAAATTCCGGAGTAATAAGAAACTTGAATTTTTCGTGCGTATTTTACACAAAAAAGTAGATATAGATTAAATAAAATAAACAAACAGCATAAGAAGTAACATTGGATTTTGTTCATATTAGTTTAATTATTTGCTTAATATGGCTAAATCACTTTCTTGTGTTGTCATTGGTTATTCCAATTACTCAACCAAATTTAAAAAGAGGAAAAAAGCTATTTGTGAAATTCATAAATGTTCAAAAGATCCTAATTGCTGCTGTTCTGAACCATTTAAACTTTTTCCTTTTCCTACTGAAGAAAAAGACCCAGAGCGTCGATCCGTTTGAAAAAAAATTGATAAATCGGGTAAATTCAGAAAAATCTCAATGGGAAGCTTCTAATTACAGTAGAATTTGTTCGGAACATTTTATTCATGAAAAATTTGAATATCCTACTATTGGGATCCAACGCATTAAATAAAATAATAATTTGTTCCTTTTGTTTCATCTAATTGTAATCGACCAATAAATAAACGAAATAACAACATAATTTCTGATTCATTTTCAATAAAAACAGCCACTATATCCGCCTCTACTTGTAAAAATGCAAATGTGATTACAGCAGTTAATAAATGCTAAAATGTTTAAAAAAAAAAAACAGTTTAAAGAACTCTACTTTTAAAACTAAAATTTAAACAAACATTAGCGAAAAATTTTTGGTAATGCATAATAAAGTTTTTCCTGTTTTTTCTTCAGAAATATTGACAGACGATCTTGTTACTTTAGCATCTAAAAGTCAGTTTGTATCAAATACTGAAAAAAATATTCAATTAAATTCAATTATTTTGACTCAAACAGTCTTTTTAATTTTAACACTCTATGCTTTAATTATCAACTGTTATTTAGAAATTAAGAAGTTAAAAGCTGAAAATATTAAACTTCAAAAGAAAATTATAATGCAACCAACTAAGCCTATATCTGTATATAAGAAACTTCTGTCAAACAGTAATGTAAAGTTCTATACAAATCTTGGTTCTTTAGAGTTATTTAATAAATTGCATGACTTTATTATCCTTTATGTTCAAAACAATTTAATTCTGTTAATGTTAAAAGAACTGTCAGTGGAACACTAAAAAAAGTTGGACGTGTAAGAAAATTATGTTCACAAGATGAGTTTCTGCTGACTTTAATGAAACTTCGATTAGGATCATTTAACAAAGATCTTGCTAGTCGTTTTTTTTTAATATTTCTATTAGCACATGTTCCAAAGTATTTCATTCTTTGATAAGAACATTAGCAGAAGTTTGTAAGCATCTAATATTTGTACCAGACCTTGGCACGTTAAATGCAACAAGCCCTTTATGATTTAAAAAATATAAAAATTTAGAAGCTATTATTGACTGTTCAAAAATTTTTCATACAAACCCCAAGTAATTTGGAATTGTAAAGTGTTACTTAGTCTGAATATAAACACCACAATACTTTAAAGTTTTTATTAGGTGTTGCTCCTAATTCTTTTATTGTTTATATCAGAAGGTTATACCAGTCGCATTTCCGACAAAGCGTTAATTATGGATTGTGGTTTTTCTGATTTATTATCTCCTTTTTTCTATAGTTATGGTAGACAAAGGGTTTAATTTGCACGATGAATGCACTGCTCGACATTTATTTTTTACTGTACCACCTGGTCAGCGAGGAGCATCACAAATGATAACTTTTGAAGTTAAAAAAACAAGTTCAATTGCTAAAATTAGAATTCTTGTGGAACAAGTTATTGGAAGATTAAAAACATTTTGTCTTATAAGTAATGAATTATATAAAATATGTATATATATATATATATATATATATATATATATATATATATATATATATATATATATATATATATATATATATATATATATATATATATATATATATATATATATATATATATATATATATGTGTGTGTGTGTGTGTGTGTGTATGTGTGTGTGTAAAAGAAAAATGCCGGATAACAAATTAAAAAAATTATTCAAACTTAGATGTGTAAAATATAGTTAAACTTAAACAAATTTAAGTTTGAATAGTTTTTTTCATTTGTTACCTGAAATTTTTCCTTCTACACACATGCACATAAACACACACACAAACACACGCACACACACAAATATATATATATATATATATATATATATATATATATATATATATATATATATATATATATATATATATATATATATATATATATATATATATATATATATATATATATATATATATACATTTGTTTAATATGTATATAGTGTTTTGTTTGTTTGTAAAATAAAGTAGAATATAATACTTTTGTTTCACGAATATTATTATATACTACATACTTTGATTTAATCTAATTCAATCATTAGTTCATCTAAATCTTTAATACTGTGTAAAGTTGTTGAAGTTTCTAATCCGTCATCCAGCTATAGGATGATATTTTTATTTATTTATAAACCTATTTTTAGAGAAAAATCTGTATATTTTTAAATAATTTATTCTTATTTTAAAAGCAAATTTTTAAAAATTGCAAAGTTGTTATTAGATATCTTAATAACTAATTTGTTTATCTTATCACTTATTTCCACTTCACATTGTTTATATCTACTTTTTTTATGTAAAAACGCACGGAAAAATATTTCTCGCCTTTTAAAATTAATTTCGAACATGGTCTATTGGTTACGCAAGCTGTTAGCAATATTTCAAATTGGTCAATAAACTTTGATGACTTAAATAAGTATTTGATAATCAAGCCTTTTAAATAGCTAGTTTTGTCATTTCAGAAAAAAATATAGGCTTGGTACAAAGTCAAAAATTTATTCAACTTTCATTTGATAACGTTTTATCATTTTTCGTGGAGAACATCCTTTTTTTTTTTTTAACTTATATCATTATGTCAACTGTCACGCTAGTGCAACGATCATCGGGTAACACACGTACTTTTATATTTTTATGTTGTGAACCTTTCACCACTTATCATTGAAAAATTAAAATTTGTAGAAAAGGAAAAATGTATCTTTTAAACAATTAAGAAACCTATATATAAAGTAAACACAAAAAAAGGAGAAAAGCCATCCATCTCTTTTTTCCAAATAGAAAAAAATATGCAAAAAAATTAAAACATAAAATAAATTTTTGAACCTAAACATACAAATTTATACAAAACCGTTAGAAAATTCTAATAAAACTTTTGCAGAAAGTCAAACCATAGATATATCAATACAAAACAAATGACAAAACCTTTGAACAAACAACCTCTTAAACTAAAAATTTAGAAGTGATAAATTACACAACGCTGCTAAAATAATTAAAGACTACAGGAGAAAAAAGGCATGTGTCACATATTTCCACTTTTGAGATAAATGAAATATTGTCTTTGAAAGTCATACTTTTTCCCCTGTATGCCTTTTCTTAGGGCGTTTCTGTAGCATTACATAGGCCTTTTTTGGGTTGCATTTTACTATTTTGCTAACCTTCAGGTTTATGTTTATTTAGTAGGGGACATAACTCAAATAATTGAAAAATGTGACATTTTCCCTTTTTCCCCAGTAGTCTTCAATTGTAATAGTTAAAATAAAGGGAAAGTCTTCTGCATAGATGGTATACCACAGACCAATATCAACAGTTCAGAGACATTTACGGTGAAGAACTCACTTTTCCTAGCATAATAATTAAAATAAAGAGAAACCCATATGAAAAGATGGTATACCACAGATTAGTATGAGATGGTATTTGTATCAGATGCAGATTAGTATGTGATTAGTATCAGATGGTATGTCAACAGTTTAGGAACATCTACGACAAAGAACTCATATTTCCTAGTAAATATAAACATATTCAATACTGAAAATAATTAGACTTAGACACAACAAACGGCACTGATGAGTCTTCTCTCAAAAGATGGAGACCTATCTAAACTAAAAAAATGAAGACCGATATCTACTTTGTGCAGACTCCAAGGTAATAATAAAGGAACTTAGGTTAGTGCTTTAACACAAGTTATGTAAGTTTTTAGACATTATCTGGGTGTGCACTGGAAGAAATATTTTTAAGGAAACCAGGAAAACCCAGGAAAAAATATTTTTAAAGCAATCATTTGGTAAGAGGTTTAATTTAATGCACCAAAGATAAAAATATTACAAATCTTTACTTTCTATTGACCAGGAGAAGACTTTTAAAAAGGGAGATAGAAACGTTTCGTTCAAAATAGTGGAAACAATTAATTTAGAAACATGATAATTGAATTAACATGTTTTTAAGTGTATAATATGTTCTAATTTCACAATTGAATATGTTTATATTTGCTAGAAAATTGAGTTCTTCACCGTAGATATCCTTTAACTGTTGATATTATTGTAATGGTATTATGGTATATGGTAAAAAAGATACAATTAATAATTGTATCTTTTTTAAAACATGAACTGTTACAATTAAATAAACGCTTATGAAAATTCCAAAATGTTGTTTTTGTCATGTCACACAGGGGTGGGGTATCTTAAAAATACTACAACTGTCACATAGGGGAGAGAGATTTTGTAAAAACGCCCAAAAAAAGTGTCAAGTATTATTTAAACAGGCCCTTAACAAGTTGCATAAAGCAGGGGTCGGCAACCTTTTGAGACAGAAGAGCCAAAAGTTACAATTTACAAAATTTTTTTAGTTTTTAAAGTACTACCAATACCTTTATTTTAATGTTATATTAAAATTTGTGCATAAAGCTAAGTAGCCGCATCTTGACATCAAAAGAACCACATGAGGCTTTCGAGCCGGAGGTTGCCATTCTCTAGTGTAAACATTTAAACAATAAAATGTAGACTATATATTTGCATAAATCTTTTACACAGCAAACTAACCAAAAACAACTTTAAAAAAAATCATCTTGTCAACAGTTGTCAAAAAATCTCACACAATCCCCACCCCTCCTCCTATTTTTTGACTTGAATCTTTTGAAAGTTAATTAACTTTTTATGTTATTTTTTTTTTTCTTTTTTTTTGTATTTTTTAAAACATTGTCAGTTTTTTTCTAATTCTCTTACTATTTCAATTAACCAATAGTCTCTATTTTTTGGGTTACTCTAAGAACAATATGTCTTAAAAAGGTAATTTTTTTCAAATATTTTTTAAACTATGCACTCCACGCTCCTACGAGGAGCGAAATCATTACTTTTATTTTTGTGCATAGAATATGTTTTTCTAATAGTATTCCTCATTATGATTTCAAATATACTATCCTTTTTTTTCCTATCATGTCAAGTTTTAAAGATATTAGGGTTCAAATCATAAATACTTAGGGTAAAATACCTAAAATTGTAAAAAAAACTTCTTTAAAAGTATGTCAACCTGGGTCTCATAATAAACGTTTTTTACACGATTTTAAAAAAGATAAAAATTCTTATTTTAAATTTATCGGCGAAAAATAAAGTAAAAAAATAAAGTAAAAATAAAGTAAAAAAACACAAATAAGTATTAAAATAATCTAAAAAAAGTGTTTTTACCAATAAAATTAAAAAAATTAATTTTTATTACAAACAAATATTATTTTTGAGATCTCTGTGAATCTATAACAATTTATAGGTTAACTATAATTTAAAGGAAGTCATAGGTTTAAAGTCTAAAATCATATATTAGAAGTAGTACTAACTAGTATGTCAATAAAGCTAAATATAAAGGCTACTATAATATTGTAGATTTATTTTTCCACTTAATTGATAAAAGCGAGAAGCATTATACGTGTATAATTACACGATAATGCTTAACTCCATTTGCCCCATTAAAAATACCTCCTTTTACCCCATTACAGTATGGCACATTAAAATGCATTATAAACGAAATTGGGTTGATTTTATTGTTAAATTAAAGGCCCAATTTATTGGCTGATTAATCAGATCCAATAGACGTTTTAGTTCAAAGCTTTTATTGTTAAGCACTAACATCTTAAGTCTTAAGTTAAAAAAAATTAGATAAAAAAGATTTGTGTTTACCTTATAACAATAATACTGCATGAAAAATAGGCTACATATCAAAATAGCATTGTCTTGTATCACGTTTCTTCAAACTCAGGCAATCGCAATAGTTTTTGAGACTCTAAAAAGGATTTAGTTGCGAAACCCCAATACCTCTTTTTACCCCAGTTCTCCTATTAAATTATATTAAACAAAACATATTCTGTCAAAACTTCTTATGTTATTTTCTCGTCAATAAAATAATCCTGGTTTCAATATATTTACAAAAATATCAATTAATTTATTACTTTTTAATTTATTTTATTATATTCAATTTTTTTTTTTAATTTATTAAATTATTACTATTTTGATAAATCAAAATTAATTCAAAAATGAAAAGATCGCCCCGAGTAAAGATTGCAAGATAACAAATTTTTTTCACAAGATTTTTTGATGGCTTTTAACCTTATTATTTTCTATTATTTCTAATTAAATTGTCATATATATATATATGTAAAATCAAAACTCTGTCTTTAAGTTTCATTAGTTTATTCTTATATTCTTATGAGATTCACGTTCTTGGCTAATCATTTTTATGAGATTTGTTAATTGACTAACTATGTCAAGAACGTAAATCTAAATTAAAAATAACTTCAACTAAAAACCCTTAAAAATGAGCATTCCGTGCAAACGTTTCAATTTTTGTATTATCATTTCTATAATGTGCATCAGCGGTAAATAAAGAAACAATTTTTAATTGGCAATTTTGACTTCTTAAGAATCCTATGAAATTTGAAGAATTGCAAAAAACAATAATCAGACCGTTTTACGTTCTGATAGTTATTTATTTTTCAGATGTAAATATCTATTTTAAAATAAATAAGGCTTTATATCTAATTCTTGTGAGATCCCAAGAACTAGGTATGAAGGCTTATTTAATTTAAAATAATTATTTTCCCTATGTTTAATTAGGTCTTTGATTTTTTACAAACCCATTTTTTATCAGCTGCTGTATTTAAGACGCGTTTAAAGTTAAAATCACAAAAATTACCAAAAGCGAAACGTTGGGAAAAAAGATTGCGTAAAATATTGTAAACTAAGTTTTTAAAAAACATATTTATTAACACATAATTTACAAATAATAAACTGCAGTTCGTCAAAAAAAAACAAAAAAAAACTGCACTATATGCTCCACTTTTCCCTTTTTCAGTATGACTTCAATAAAAAAGTTTCGTGAGTATGCAGTATTTACAATAAACAACAATTCTTAAAAAATATAAATATTTAAAAAAATAAAAAACAAGTGCATAAATATTTTTACACTGAAAAATAAATAATTTTTAAAAAATTATTAAATTTAAGCTATACTGCTTTTATGCAAGTTTATAAAAATTCATACAGTCATTGAAAGGTTTTGAGGTTAAATACATTGATGAACAATATTCAATGAAACGTTGGGACGAACTCTTACTACTATATGATGCAAGCATGTGTTTGGAATACAAAACCCACGTTTGAACATCTTGGACTAAAGACTGCACTAAATTTTCTGAACTATCGATGGTAACAGTAGAAGTATTATACGCATTGCAAAAGGAATATTCTTTGTACCAAACAGGTTTTTTAAGAACTGTAGAAAAAGAAAAAATTATCTGTTAAAATTAAAATAACAAAATAAATTATTGTATAATTATATTGTATAATTAACTAAAAATTTTGATAAAGGAAAGTTTAAATTTCAATATATTCTTACTGATGAAAATAAATTTTAAAATTAATTTTTTTTATTTCATTAATAAATTCTTTTAAATAAAATAACATAATAAAGATATTAAAACATGGAAATTAAAAAACTTACCATTAGCTAACACTAAATCAAAATAAAATTGATCATAATCAGCAATATTTCTGTCTTCATTAAAAGTAACTAATCTAAAAGCAGGATTATTTTGATAAACTGGTGTTATACTTGGAGCAAGAAGCATATAAGATTTCATATTTTCATCTGGGATAGGAGGAAATATTTGACTCTGGTATAATAGCTTTATTTTATCTTGATGTGCGTGTCCATATAACTGAACTAATGGGTAAAAAAAAGAGATAAAAAAAATTTTAAAAAAGGTTTTGATATATTTAAATAAAGATTGTTAATTTTTATTTGTTTTTCTGCTTTTTAATCAAATTTAAACGTGTGACGTTTTATTAAAAATAATCCAAAAATATTAAACTTGAAAAATCAGAAGGTGAAAAAAGATTGAGATAATATTTAAAAAAACGATCTTAAATAGAACTGGCAAATATTTCACGTTTTTATTTTATTATTATTATTGTTAATTCGTTTAATCACCACATAATTACATAAAATATAGTTAAAAGTTAAACAAATATATTTAGATTCAGAATTTATAAAATTTGGAAGTTATATATTATATAATTCAAAACTTTGTAGAAAACCAAACACACAACAACCTCACAAAACATTTTACTAATTTTTAGAAAAATTAGAAAAATATAAAGATTGTCTTTAATATACTATTTCTGTGATAAAGATAAAATATAAACCTAAACCGTAACCCTGACTGAAAGTCTCTTACACTCCTTCACTCTCCTTCACTTTACTTATGATTGAAACAATTGTCTGTTAAGAAGAGTATTTGAAGTATGAATCGTTATTGTTACCACATGAAAGGTAAACAACAATATTTTATCAAACTTTATCAAATTTTATCAAATTTCAATTGTTTAGTTGTAGCCTTTAAGTAAATAAACTCATAAGTTTGTTGGTAAAAACTGTGTCAAACTTTATAACAATGAAAATACTGTTTATAGCCTTTAATAGCCAGAATATTTTTATCCTCATGTATTATGTGAAAAGACTACATAGTACAATGCTGACAAATAAATTCTCAATGTTTAAAAGTTGTCTGATATAAAAATAATACCAAAAGACTTTAACAGCTCAGAAATTTAATACGTGTTTCATTTAAAGCTTTGACAGTTATATTCATAAAGTGTTATTTATTACTAATTACTCTCAAGTCCTTAATACAAGGGATGAGGGTGGGGGGGGGGGGGTGAAAAAAAGGGAGAAAAGTAGGGTGGGAATTTTAGTTTAGATCCAATAAATGTGGAGGTTTTAATAAAAGGGGAGGGGGGGGAATTATAAATAAAAACTATTAAAGAAAGGGGGGGGTCTAAATAAGCTTGGGGTGGGTGGAAAAAGCTTTCAAAAATTTATAAATCTCCCTCTCCCCTTTTATTAAAGACTCAAAAGTAAACTTCCTTTCCACCCATTATGATTTAAAGTTTGGTATTTGACTATTGTATGAATGTAAATCAATCAATGTAAAATTGTTGTTAATATAAAGATAAGTGATTCTGTAAACTATACATATGTAGCAAATATTTTTCAGTATACTGATGTGGTTTTTTAATTTTTAAACTTTCAGGATGCATTTAAATGGTTTGGCACTAATGTTATTATCCCAAACATCGAGTTTAGTTGCCATTCCTTTTTCAGTAATTTTGGTTTTTAGTTTAAGAGAACAGTTGTATATGTTTTCAGAGTTAAGTTTAATGTCTAAAGAAATAACATTTCCTTATATATAATATCTATTTCGTTATTCATGTAGTTTGAAAGATCTTCTTCAGAGTTACAAACTCCATCTACAAATATATAAGACTCTTAAATAAATTGTTTGCCTGCAATTAAACTTCTGTTTTAAGCAACTTTATTTCCAAAAATCTTTCCTGGACTTCAATTTGGCTCATTATAACTTAATGATTTATTTCTATCACTTTGAAATCCTTAAAACTTATTACAAAGCTAATTTTGTTTTCCAGTTTAGCTTTTTGCATTTTAAACCATGGTTGTATAAGAATCTTTATTTCTACTCTCAGAATTTAAACTATACATAGGGTATACATAGTATACATAGGGTATACATAGTATACATAGGGTAACTATACAAATAGTATACATAGGATTGCCAGATGTCCGGCTTTTATAAAGGAGAACTTAGTAAAAAAATTTATTGTTTACTGTTTTGGCACTGTATTCTCCTCCGTAAAAGCTAGACATCTGGCTAACCTAAGTATACAGGAACTTTATTTAAGGATATAATAAATTATTTAATAATAATTTATTGAAATTAAAACAAAAGATTTTTTTTTGATTTATGACGTCTACCATGGCCTACTTAAATTACACGGCCTGATTTGTTGCATTTTCCGTAAAAAATTAAGGGGCCAGTTTTTTTACGGCTCAAGTATTAAAACTTCATTTTAAGAGTCTTGTTTGCACTATATTTGTTTTATTTTTATTTTATTAAAATGGTTTAATAATAGTTAGATTTTCATTTGAGTACTTACATTATTTTGTGCTGGATTTTCTGTTAACTGATTGCCTGCTTCAGTTTATTCCAACAACACAGAATACTGAAATAGGCTTTTAGATAACTATATCAACGCATACCAACATGCTACTAAAAATAATCTTTCTTGTTGTTAAGATTGCCTAAAACTCTCTATTGAACAAAAAAAAAAGGTTTGTACTTTTGTATTTTTATAATTAAAATTAAAAGAAGAAATTTTTGTTAGAAATGTTTATTTTGTCTTTGTCTTTTTTGGAATTCTTTTACTTGATCTTTTCTCAATGAATATATAATTTTTTATTATAAAAAATATTGTTAACAATACGAAATCTATATTTGATTCCCCATTTTGGGTGATTTTTATTTGTTAAATTATTACTGCTAGATCAAATCTTTAAAATTTGTTTCACAAATTTTTAATTGAAAAAGAACGACTGCAATGTTTTATTAGAGAAATAACATAAAATACTAAAAAGATGACAAATAAAATTAGACAGAGGTTGAATTGAATATATAGGTTCTTCTCTTTATAAAGTAACGTTTATTGATCATAAGTTTTACATTAAAATCTTTTTATTAATTTTTACCATTATTACTTGCTTTAGTATATATATCTGTGCTATCTACAAATATTTCTTAGTTGTCTACATAAATACAGTTGTATTTATGTAGACAACTAAGAAATATTTTGCATAATATTTTTTAAAGATTATCAAAATTCTGATAAATATTTTCTGGGAAAATCTGCCGAAATCTTTTTACTAATGCATATTTCTAAAAGACTCACAAAAAGTCTACTACTGGTCATTTAATTATTTATTTATTTGAAAACAACAGAAGGACCCAAAGGCCACTAACACTGAGTATACATTTTTTTTTACTGAAATATTAAATTGTATCAAGTGCTGGACAAGTTACAACAAAATTGTATTAACTTGAACAAAGCAGTACAAGACATTTCTTAAACATCAAGACAGCCGATGCAGACACCACATCCTCCGATAAACTATTCACACATTAACAATTCGATTAGAAAAGAAACACTTTGTGCTGTTTAAACTACAATGGTGTTTGTACAGTTTAAAGTTATGACCTCGATTATTCAAGTAAAAATTGAGAATAAGAATGTTTGATAGGTCAGTGTCCAGTTTACCGTTAAGAATTTTGTAGCATAAAACTAAATCTTTAAACACTCGTCGATATTCTAACGTGTTAAGCTTTAGTATGGCTAGACGCTTATCATAGGAAACTGACCACAGACCAGCAATTCTTTTAGTGAAGAAACGCTGCACTTTCTCAACTTTATTAATCAGGCATATAGTGTAAGGTGACCATACTGAAGAGCAATATTCAAGCATAGGTCATTACATAAGTACAGTAGGCTTTAACCATCAGCAATCTATCTCGTGAATAAAAAGATTTTAAAATAAGAAAAGCTCTTGACATAGCTTTATGTACGATAAGATTGATATGTTGATTGAATTTGAGATTTCTATTAATGGTAACTCCAAGGATTTTTCAGTTGCTATTTGGAGTTGCCAAGTATACTTTTTACTGTAATTATACTTACTAAATGTAATTATACTTACTAAAACCTAGCTTTAAAGGATCACTTTGTAAATTGGAACTATAAACAAATGTAAAGCCTTCTTCAAGGAAATCACGCATAAGAAATACGATTGCTTGTAGTGTTGTAATTAGAGCACAAGAAGTTTGTTTGGTTAAATTATTTATGAAATTTTATTTTGATCAAATTTCAGTACAATTTGCAATTTCTCTATAAAGTGTGGGTTTGTTATCACCTTTCAAAGCAACACTGCTGAGTTTGATTGGATGAATTAAGTTTCTGCTTTGAATTAAGTATGATAAATAACTTATAAAACAATGATAAAAATTGTGCTGCGTTATTTCTTTCAGAAAAATAACTCTAAATTACAGCTGCAGTTGTTTCGTCAAATATTGTCAATGTTGACAACTTGTTTGTTGTTTCCAAAATATGTGACTTGATATTTAATTTTTATTGCTTTTTCTTGCCTGTTTAATAACTGATCTTTTTATAAACTTTAAGAAATATATTCCCTGTAATGTAATTAGCAGTAACTTCAACAAGAAGAAAAAAACAAAAACCGAGAATAACAAGTATGTTTTAAACATTCCTTTTCTAAACTAAATGATAAATTTTCCATCTCCAGTATATGCTTTATTAAACGACAAAAATGCATTAACATTTATAGAATGGTTATCAGTAACAACAGCTCTTATCTTAAATTCAGATTGGTGCATTGAGGTAATATACTCATCAATTTCTTTTTTCAAACATAAACCAGTTATGTAAACTTTAGAAGAGGATTTCAAAACATAAGAATAAATTTTTGAAGCCCTACAATCATAAAAACAAAAAACTTCTTTAAAAACTTCTTTAAAAAGATTATTTTCTCAATCTTTATCAAATCACTTACCACTTTGATAATGGGCTGCTTTTTGGAAGTACATCTTACCCACAAGAAGCAAATAATCTCTTGATACCAAAATTTTGTCAATGATTTTTCTAATATATTATAGTTTTTCAATTTGTAATTTTCACCACTGCGAAACCATTTAAGTAAAGAAATATGATAAGCATTTATTTGGCAATGAAAAAAATTAGAAATTTATTAACAGCTATTGACTCCAAAACAGTTGGTATGCCTGATATTTCTTGCCTACTGTAAATAAATAGCCTGATTTGTTGCATTTTAATTACTGTATGTTTGAGACATGCAGAATAATAAAGTATTTACATTAGAAAACCTTGTTTTGCAGTGTAAATATTTTAAAGAAAAGTTTATGTTTTCTACTTAATAATTGCACTTATATTAAATACAAAATTACAAACCTTTAAAATTATTTCCAATGGAGAATTGTGAGTAGTTTTAGCAATATGTAAGATTATTTTTAGTAGCATGTTGGTATGTGTTGATATAGCAAGTATAGCTTTTATAAGTTTTTTTTATTTTTTTTGCATTTTTTTTACTAACTTCGTATAGATAAAAAATTTGTTTTAAAACTATAAAAAAAAAATTATTTTTTGCAACTAAATATTTCGAAAAAATAACTAGCTTAAGAGCGACTTTCTGTAAGAAATATATCAAAAATTAATAAAATTGGGAAAGAAAAATTTTTTCTTTATCTAAATATCATGCTATAAAATACGTGAAAAATTAATTTTTTTTTTTGTCATTTTTGATTTTTGTTTTCATTCAAAGCTTCGATTATCCCTTTTTTTTTAAGCTCATTTGTTCATTAGTTTATTAGCTTCTTCAAAACCATTTGTTGCTAAGAAGTAATCACTGTGGTGATTAATTGGAGTTGAAGGACTTATTTTAAATAAGATGTCATCATCTGTATATACTATGTTATCTTTCTGATTAGGTCATTGAAAACAATTTTTAGTACTGTTGTTGATGTAATGTTAGCTTTTTACTTAGTTTTATGTAGTATAAGTTTTTAGTTTAACAATATATACAAAATTTTTACCTCTACAACATTTGTATACCATTGGTTTTTGAGAACAACTGCCACTCAATCACCTTTCAACCATCTTCATTAGTTGGAGCAGTCGACTTAAAGTCAACAAAGTCGACTTTAAGTCAACAAAGATCTTATTTGTTGACTTAAACTCATCAGCTGTGAGATATTTTTTTATCACTGTGTTTACTTCTGTTGGTGACACCTAATTTCCTATCTTTTCTCCATTTATGAAGTATTCATAAAAAAGTTTTTTCAGCCTTATGGAAAAACAAAACTTCCTTCTTGGCAATGCCCAACCTAATTTATGGAACTTTTAAGAATATATATTGTTTAATGGGGTAGGCTTGATTTTAACCGATGCGGTTATAGAATTAGAATAAACTTTCAAAGTTGCTTTCAACTTTTTAGTATAAACTTTTTTTTACTTTATCTAAAGAAGAAGATTGTTTAGATCTTTTAAGCTGTTCTGTCAGCATATGCTCTTCTAACTCAAAAATAGTTTCAAAATATTCAATACAACCGGTCTCCTGGCAAAAATATTTACTATTTCTGGCTCATCTAGGCAAAACTGATATAGAACTGATTCAACAATAGAGATAACAGAGGAAACACTTTGATCGCAGCGATATAAAATTGTTAGATAAAGATGTTTTTTAGGAATGTTATTTTTTTTTTGTAAAAAAACATCTATTTGCATACTTATGTCTTTCTTCCCAAATTAGTCCTTCTGACCCTCTCTAAACTTTACATGTATTATCTTTTTGTAAATAGTTTTTCAACCAAAATGCTATTTTGTCATCTAGTTGTTTATATGCATCATTCTTTGTCTTTTTCTGTTGTGCATCTCTTAAGAAGTGTTTCATATACTCTGTGATGCTTCCTATTGATAATTTTATGTCATATATTACATCATCACCGACATCATTTTCATTTCCTATTTGAATGACTTCATCTAAAACTTCAAACAGCTCATTGCATTCATAGCATACAGAATCAATTAAAATGCTACATGATTGCAATTTAATGTTTTTATCAAGGGCAAACCGAGTTGAATGTGTTGCGATTTCATTTTAGAAACAGCTGCAATTAGGTTTATATTTAATTTTTAAATATAAAACAGTTGATTTTTTATTAAACATATTTGTAAATTGTTCAAGTGTTGGAAAGGCATTCATCCCAGCAGCAGCTTGTCATTTAGACCAGACAGGCATTTTCTATGAGAAGGTTTAATTTCATCAAGTATCCGCAATAAACTTGAATTGGACAGAGGCTTATACACAATTTCTTTGCAACTTTCCCTATATACAGCAATAGTTTTTGCTGTTAAAAATGGCACTAGCTACACTTTTAACATCACCACTAGAGTACCCATTAAAACAATTTTTTTTTTAATGTTTGCTGTGTTTTATATAATAAAATAATAGTAGAATTAAGAATTTTTTGAAAAAAAAATATTTTAGGGGTAGCTCAAGACATTAGATGGGTCCCTATAATTATCAGAAAAATAGTTCTTCAAGGATAATTAGGATTTACAAGTTACAGTAACAAATCTATTTAATCACGAGTTACAAAAATAGGATAATATTAGTTTGCCTTTAGGTTGGTAAGATGTGATTGTATATTTTTAGTGAGTTTGCTTGTTTCAAACATTTTATCTACATTTGGAGTAGGTTGGATGTAAGGTCTACAATTATTCCACTCAAAGCAACAACACGTGTGCAAAGAAATATTTTTTGAAGACATTTAATCAAAATGCCTTTAAAAAAGTAAAAAATCTTAACTAACTGTAAATATAAAAAAGAGATCTATTATAATATAAAATAATCATACTTAGTAAACATATTCGGAATAAAAACTATACTCAAAAATATGATAGAGTAACATGGAAACATACTGAATTCAAGCGCTCATAAATAAATATAGAAGCACCTAAAAAAAACATTTATACTATTTATATGTTATTTTTTCTGAACTTTTGCAATATCTCATTTTTTATAAATTAGGTAGATTAAAGGTCAATAAAAGTTTTTTTAAAGTTAATTTTACAGTGAACCCCGGGCTATAACCATTTTTATGTCACAATCAATGTGTGTCAAAAGATTAGAATTTTGTTTTTGAGTTGGATTTTGTGGTTAAGCCTTTACTTCCCCATAGGTGTTTTTATACTTTTAGGTACTTAACTAGATAAAGATTATTAATAACAAAACAAAATTATGGGATATTCGCAACTTTGAATGAAAATAAAGATTATAAAAGACAAAAAAAATCATTTTTCGAGTATTTTGAATTATGATGTTTAGTCAAGGAAAAAATTTTTTTTTCCTAATTTATTAATTTTTGATCTGAACCAGATAACCAATAAACAAAAATCAAGTAAAATTAACTTAAAACTCAAATAATGACAAAAAGTCGCTTAACTAAAATCATTTTAGGTATAATGTAAAAGAGCTTTTAAGTCAAATACTAGGTAAATCATGCTGTTTTGTTGAAATGTTACAGCTAGCAAATGGAGGTGGTCTGAAACTTCCAGAAATTGTGAATATACTTTGGGCTGCAAGGCAATTGCATAACAAACAAGCTGCACTGAAATTTTATGATGACAAAAAATCATTAGAAGTCATCATAGACTGCTCTACTCAATGGAATTCAATGTTAGACATGATAGAGCAATTAGTGTTATGTTGGATGATTGGGGTCGTGCTGCTTGATTGAAATTTTACACCAAAAACAAATCCGTTAACTCTTCCACATGACAGATGAAAAGTGGTTGCTTGTATATATTCATATATTATATAGTCATTATACTGATTTTAAAACCATTGAAGCAGGTAACAACTATGTTATCTAGTCATAAATATCTTTTGTTGTTGTTAGTCTATCTACTATTTGCAGAAATGCCATTGCGACTGATATAACAAAATGTTATTACCCAGAAGGGGACAGTAAACTAACTGGGCCAAAATCATTTGTAATAGATCCACATTATTAGCTTTTTAAAATTTTTGAAATATCTATTCAAAATGAAACATATTCCACTATCAGAGCTGAAATGGAAACTATTGTTATGCCAATATTGGGAAAAAGTATTGAAGTAGTAGCAGAAAATTTAATGCTAAAGCAAGGGTGAATCCAGTTTAAACCAAACTTATGGAAGGAGAACTTATCTAAAGAACTGAGATTGCTGTGCACAGTTGACGAAGGATTATACTTGTGACTTACCTTTTTGACTGTCAATAGAAACATCTTAGGTTCTTGGCAAAATAACACCAAACGTTACCCAAAAGCATGCTATTTTAGCGTGCATGTACATGTGTATACAAGCAACATTAGTGCCATCAGAATGCTTATTTTTTCAAATGTTTATTTTTTAACAGGTACCAGAGTAACTTTCCATTTCACGGGTACTCAGGTAGACATTTTCACAATTTTTGACAATACTAAAAACTATAATACAAGTTGAAAGTAACCTTGATAAGTAAAAGATAAAAAAGGTAACAATATGAAAATGATAAAAAAATATTACAAAAACTCAAAGGACCACACAGACTCACTAGATTACACAAACACAACCTTTTAGTAGTATGTAATAACTTTTACTCAACTAATAACTGTAAAATTAAAAAAAAAGAAAATTAAAAGTATGTTACTTTAATTAAATCAAGTAAAAAAAATGCTAATTCACCTGCAATAATGTTTTTGTAAATTTTCGTTGTTATATCTAAATAAATATCTGTGTAATTGCTCAACCACATGTTACAATGAAGTTCATATGATGAACACCTAAATAAAAATTGTCTTTATATTTCAATTATAAAAAATACTTAATAAACTGACCATTGTTAATAATAAGTTAACCATGCTAGTGAACACACAATACATGATGATCATATAGATTAAAAAAAAATGAATATTTTTCAAACTTAACTTAAGTCATTAATAAAATATAAAATAAAATTTTAAAAACTTTCAATTAAAAAGAAAACTATTTGTTTAAATGCTAATGTATTGTTGATCTTATAATTAAAGTATATATATATATTTTTTTTTTATTTTAATTCACCTCCTCAAGGCCGAGAAGGCCACTACAGACGAGGAGGCTATTTATTTGTGGCTATAACTCTCTCTCAACTCTATAACTCCAAAACACGAACCTTGATGAACAAGGCCGCTGCGCGGAGAAACGAGTTAAGCGCGGTACTACCAGGGACGTGGTGAGGATCGAACTCCGAACCACTCGTTTATGAAGCGAGCGCTCTACCACAAGACAGGGGCTAGTTACAACAGTGTTGTTTAAGTGATGATTTTTTATTTATTACTCTTGTTATAATAAATTATTATAATAATTATTATAAATAAAGAAAAAGAAGCTGTTCACAATAATGTTCTACTATTTCTTGTTAAAAAATAAATTGTATTTGCCAAAATTGCCTAAATATCAACAGTTTTGATTATATGACAATCAAAAAAATAAAAAAAAACCAACAGTTTTGATTATATGATGATCAAAAAAAAATTAAAAAACTACTTTCTTATGATTCGATTAAAATCATATTCACTATTCAGTTTTTCTTCTAACTTGATTATTTAATTTTATGACCATGCTTTTGCTTAAAAAAATACCAACAGTTTCGATTATATGATGATTAAAAAAAAATAAAAAAATACCAACAGTTGTGATTATATAATGATCAAAGAAAATTTTAAAAAAACCAACAGTTGTGTTTATATGATTAAATAACTGATTCTGATGTTCGTATATTTTTTTACCTCTGGCTAATTGTTATTTAATTACTCTGAGTCTGTATTGTGTGATAGCTATTGTCTCTACTTACCAGGAAAGATTTATATTAGAACATACTATTTAGAGTTATATATTTTTTTATCATACTTTCATTTAACTACTTTCGTACTAACCACAAAACATCCTAACTTAGTATCAATGCTTATGAGTGGTATTTACTTATTATATTTATAATACATATTTCAGCCATAAAAGAAACGGTAAGTTACTATTAATTATTAATTACTATTTTCTATTCGCTTTTTGTTATTTCTACACATTATTATTGTTTATTTACACACGCGCATACGTACATGTGTACAAGTTTGTTTCTTCTAATGTTAGGGTACCTTATATTTATATGTGTTTACATATCTATTTATGGTCACACCACGCGCACTCCTCACCACCCTCACGAGATCTCTAAGAATGTTGGAGCTGTTTTCAAAAACTGGGATAGGGATTGGTTTTTTGGCTTTTGTAGTGTAGTCCTATTATATTGCAATATTGACTAGCATGACGTAGAGTGCAGGCGGTGAGATCTGTTGCAAGGACACGCCCCTGACGAGTGGCGTTAGTACAGGTCTCGGGCTCTCCGAAACGTCATTGGTGATCGCAGTGCATTCCTGAGGAGGGGGATCACCATTTATCCACTACTTAATTCTAATTGGTTATTATGGGACCAACATTTTTTTACCTCTTAAACCCATGTATTTTTGCGCTTTATGAGCTTTTTATTATGAATTTGTTACATTTACGACATTTATATATTTTTTATGTTACACAGGTGATTATCAGTTATCAATTTTTTATCTAGAGTTTAGAACATATATAGTACCACATTTATTAGACACTTGTATGGTGTGATTATTTTAGTTATGAATACCATTATTAACCAGCGGATTTTTATTGACTTGTTTACTCATAGATCATTATTTCATCATTTATTAAAAGATGACTAGAGTGTGAGTTTTTATTCCCCTTTTCCTGAGTTGCTTACTTTTACTCTTCCAACTAAATAGTCTTTGCATTAATTTATGTTTTTTTACCTAAATGACATCATCTTCAATCTGTTTTTACTTTCACATCTCCCAGGTCTACGTAACTGGACGGCTCCGTTGGTCACTTTTTGCGATCATAGTGTCGCATAAGCAAAAATTTATTCTTTGTGGCTGGTGAGCCCCGACTTTTTCCAATGTACGTCACAACAACAAAACGGACATTAGGCTATCCCGCTGGATGTGGTTACGGCGCTCAATAACCTAATGACTACGCTGACACTCACGCACACGTTCAATCGGAAGCTCCACAATGCACGTCGGATCAGCGCTCGCTGACTATGTGCTCGGATCTGAAATCTCACTTCATAGCACATCATTCCACACCAGCACGGGGCAGTTGCTCTTTTGGTTAAGAGTGATGGCTTGTGGCCTACGGTGACTAATGTGTGCATTCGATTAATTGAAATCCATTCTGTAGGTCTTACGTCTGGCTCTGATGTGCTAGCCCATAAGCGCAAGAAGTGAGTGTGTTTAGCTTTCTATTCACCCGATTTTAATGTGAACGAAAACATAACGAGACCATACTAGACGACCAAACGGCACATACTAATGCACTACACCATTACACCTGTAGACATCAACGGTCTTCAAAATCAGTATATCAAATATTTGTTCTTTGTTACATATGATCTACATACAGAGTGATTAGAGTGTTAGTTTGTTCTCTCCCTGCCCTCCGAGCATTTACTTCGTTCTTTACCTTCACAAAAGTCTTACCACTCATTTTATATTTTCATATTATTTTTATTTTATATTCAATGACACCATCTTCGAACTGTTTTTATTATCACATCTCTCAGGTCTACGAAACTGGACGGCTCCGTTGGTCACTTTTTGCGATCATTGTGTCGCATAAACAAAAAAAAAAAAAAAAAAAAAAAAAAAGTAAGCAAAAATTAAAGAAAAGGAAACTGTTATGAAAAGTTTGATTCAGACTTATCTATATCATCAGTGTCTTCTGATTCGATTAAAATCATATTATTCACCCTTTCTACTAACTCAATTAAATCTTTTGGCCATGCTCTTCCTTCCATTACAAATTGTTGTAATGGAAGGAAGAGCTATTCCTTACAAATTGTGAGACATTCAAATTACTTTGGTCATGCAAAGTCATAACTCAATAAAACTCTTCTAGAGTTTGTGGTCCAGGCAACATTAATGTTATAATGTTCTCCAGAATTCTATTCAATTCTCTCTTAATTATTTAATAAGTGCTTGACTGAATCTTGTTTTCTTGCATGCTAGAAAAGGGCATCAGTGGTTCTAATTTAAAATAACTCTAGAGAACATTCTGGCCGCTATAACTATCATATGATCAGTTTTCTTTCTGTTATTAGCAAGGTCTTTGAGCTTTTGATCTAAAAATTTCTAACATCCCATCTGAGTTGAACAATCAATTTGGTTTTTGATAACTTACTGTCAAACAATCAATACGGCTTTTGATCCTTTTGTTCTACAACTGACTTGCTATTACTGAAAGATTTTATGGAGGCAGAGAGACTATTGCTCTTAACATATCTAAAGTTTTCAATATAATTTGGTATAAGCTTGCTTCTTATGGTGTATTTGGAAAGTTTCTTTCTAACTGCTTTAATAAAGTCATCCTTAAAGGCCAACACTTTTCTTCATTTCCAGTAACTTTTGGGGTATCTTAAGGTTCTATGCTTGGTCCTGTTTTGGTTTCTTATATACATTAATAACCTTCCTGACAACATTATCTAAAGTAGCTCTACTTGTTAATGACTCAAACTTATAGTCCAGTCTTGACAAAAAATCTTTTCTTTTTGATTGCTTAGTCAAGGCAGCCGATCTCGAATCTCATCTCATTTCTGTAAAAGATTTGGGCCTGCAGTGGCTTGTGAATTTTAACTTTAAAAAAACTTAGTTATTTACTGCTAACAAATATCGAAATACTGTAGACACTCTTATATTATTGAAAGGCAAACCTTTCACTGAGTCCTTTTCTTTACATCTTCTTGGATTACTATTCACTACTGACCTGTTATCAAAACCATATATACCATCTGGTAAGTTTCCTTTTCATTATTGTGATTGCTATTATTAAACTTTTAATTCCAGTTTTTACCTTTGTAAATCTCCTATTTGTCCCTGTGTTGTCGTCCATAAGTTAAGTCACACTTAAGAGGGAGGGGTGGGGGAGGGGTAGGCGATTTTGTGACAATTTGTTACAAGGGGGAGGGGTTCTTGATTTTGTGACGCAACATTTTTTTTTTTTTTTTTAGAGAAGAGGTTCTTTTAATGAAAAGAGCAAATCTGACCAAACCAAAACTCTCAGTTGATGTATCTACATGTTAATTGTAATATTAACTACACCTAAATCTTACTTAGTTGATGTGTACACTTTGTTACAGCCTGTTAACAGTTACAGCCTGTTAATGGACTGTTACGGCTGTTTGTGCAGTGCACGTTCTGCGCTTTGAATTTATATGGTTCAAGTGCAGAACTTTATTTAGTTGGTGCACAAAAGTGTGCAGCAACAAAAAAATGATCTTTGTGTATTAACTAAAAAAAAAAAAATTTCGATGCTGAGAAACGAACCTTGAACCCTTGGTTTATTAGCCAGAGGCAGAATCCACTCGACCACGCTTACATTGCTAGTTGGAAGAAAATTGTATATATAAATTAATATTTTTGCATGTACAATATGTTATTATTTATTATATATTGTATATATATAATATTTTACATGTATTATATATCAGATATAAAACAGATTTTTAAAATTGGTATCATGTTTAGGAAAGTGATGTTAATTTATACAATTTTACACGGAACTATTAGGGTGAAAAAAAAACATTAAACAGACTAAAAAGTACTAATTAATTACCTCAAAGAAACTCAGAGAATTATAGACATTATTATATTTAAAATCCTTTTGTATTTTGTAAAATTTTGCACCCCCTCCCATCCTCTCTAAA